TATTTTTTAAAAAAAATTAAATAACAAAGTCCCAAAATGGGGAGGGGGTTTTCTCGTCGGCGTTTTAACTACAGCAAGTAGTTATTTCCCCCCCCCCTTTTCTTCCTCCCAGTTCAGCAAATAAAAGGGGAGGTGTGGCAGGTGGGTGGGGCTTACCTTTCTATAAATATCCCTGAGGCTATGAGAGGAGAGAAATAATTAAAGCTCCTGCATATCTCTCCGCGAGCAATAATAGCACCGCCCCACCTCCTATTTGCAAAAGGCCGTCGGTTTTCGTGTGAGCGGGTAGGGCGGCTATTTAAACGGCAAGCAGTGCCAAGCAGCAGCTCCGAGAGAAATTAATATTTGTTACTTTGTTTGTTTGTTTACCCGCATCATTTGCCTTTAATCGATACTGTTTGAACTCCAGACTCCATTTAACTTTCTCCTTCCTTCTGTGAAGCGATTGAGTAGGAACTGATGCTTCAGATTCAATTGTTTTGTTTTGTTTTTTTATTTTTAAACCCCTTCATCACAGTTCTAAGGCCATTGCAAGTGTAAAAAAGAAAACTCCATTCTTTGAGGTTGCTCCGAAGTATTATGTATTTCAAAATTACCTTCTGGGTGACTTTGCCCAATCTCTCGCTCTCCATGCAGAGACAGCCTGGAAGCTGGAAGCTGGAAGCTAAGAACAGGGCAGCCTCATGCTAGGAGAGTTTACTGGGAAGTTATTTAGTTACGATTTAACAAGATTTATATACCGCCAGAGGTGCCAGCTTGAATGAAAGATTGTGGGGGCCTAAGTAAGACCCGCCTCACATAATTGATCACATGACACAGTGCGCACACACTATCTGAATGGGAGTGGCAATCAACTTTTCATGGGCCCAGCCCCCTCAAATATTTTATTGTGGGGGCCGAAGCCCCCACTGCCCCTAGGAGTTGGCTCCTATGTATACCCCTGAAGCAACCACCACAACAAAGATCTAAACGGTTTACATGAATTTAGTCCCAATTTTGAGGTTTACTCCCAAGTAAGTGTGCATAGGATTGCAGTCTATCAGGGCCCAGAAAGAGGAAGCAGGGCCTAACCAGAAGTGGATGTGTTTAGGACTGCAGCTGTGAGATGCTCCTTAAAAAAACAAGGCCCAGACCATGATTAGGAAGCTTAGGTGCCAAATCCATAGAGCAGGGTCAGGGGACACGTGACCCTCCCAGATGTTGTTGGGCTCAAGTGCCACCTGCCCCAGCCAGCTTCGCCAGACCTCAGGGATGCTGTATCCTGACCACATCTGGAGGGCGAGGCGTACTCCATCCCTGCCACAGAGAAATGGAATTGGTTCGAAACAAATAAAAGGCAAGAAATTTGAGCATCGTGTGAGTTTAGGCCACTGGCTTTTGTGGGTGTTGTTAGTTTAGTTAGTTAGTTAGTTAGTTAGTTAGTTAGTTAGTTAGTTTTTTAAAAAGGGGGGCTAGAAGATCAAACTTTACAGGCAAAGGAGTGGAGTTTCCTACGGGACGAGGAAGCTGGGGAGTCAAATTTTAGTGTAGTATTTTCTATGAAGTACAGCGCTCACTGCCACTCCGATGTCATCTGAGACCAAATCTAGCCTCTTCTAAGGTTAAGCACAAATTAGCTAGATGGTGGCCTCGTGGTCCCCCCGCTGAGCCGTGAAATCCGCTGCGTGAGTTCACCAATGGCCATCTCTTGGCCTGACCTACCTTACGCGGTTGTTGTGAAGGGAACATGGCAGGGCGCCCATGTACGTAAACTCCGTGGAAGGAAAGGTTGGATAAGCTTTGACCAGAATCTAAATCACCTCATTCAGATGGGGTTCCCCCCCACACACACACACACGTTTACGGGAAATGTTAAGTTTGTTATGGAAGACCTCAAAACTCTCATCAGTTTCATGGGCCACGCTGTCCCCAGCCTTCCTGAACCTGTTGCCACCACTACCCTGCTGCTTTGGATTACAACTCCTATCAACCCAGATCAGGAAGCTGACGGGGCTGATGGGAGTTGTAGTCCAAAGCAACTCAAGGGAGCTATAGCACAAGATTGGGGAAGGCTGCTCTGCGTCATTCTCTGAAGGTAGAGGGTGCCCATGTTTGGAGGGAGAGGGGAAGCGCTGCTGAATCCTTTCGCTTTATTTTGAACGACGGGCCTATCCACTCAATTCTCTCCTCTGAATTCAATGGTCCCGCCCGGATCCTATGTGCACTTAACTTGGGAGAAGGTCTTATTGAGCTCAGTGGTGTCCACTCCTGAGTAGACATGCCTCATTGCGTTGCAAGTATTGTACCTTACTTGGAAATGGAGCAGAAGGGGGACTGGTGGATCATACTTCTTTGGGCCAGTGTGGAACGGCATGAAAAATTAATGGTGAGCAACAGAGGTGGGGGGGGGTCAGTGTGTGTCACGAAATAAAATATTTTTCAGCCACGGCAGACACACACACACACACACACGTCTCCAGAATTCCAGTCACTGGACTTTATCAATGCACCCAAAAAACCCCAGTCTGGAGGGGTCGTAGCGGAATATTCGTAGGCTGGGCGCACTTGAATTTGGGCTATAAGCCTTAACACGCTTTGTGCAGCGCGAGCTCCATTGTCCGCAGCAAGACTGTGAGTCAACATGCCAACAGTTCCATTAAACTACAATATTTCCCTTAAAGTTGTTGTTTTTTTTGGGGGGGGAGGGTTGATCTTATCTTAAGGGACTAGATTTCGTTCCAACCCAGCGCCGTGACTTTCCTAGTGTGCCAACGTTGCCATTCAGCAGCAACAACAAACATTTAAATTTTTATCTTTTCCATGCGTGGCCCGTGACCAAAAGAGCAGCGCAATCCTCTTAAGTTCCTCTGAGCTCGATGGGACTTTCTCCGGGATACACGCGTGTAGTAGCACTTCACCTTCAAGCGCAGAGGCCCTTTGATTTCAGGGGGAGAAATTTAAATAGTTCCTTCTCTTTCCCACTGGAGGGAAGGACATTTAAGTGCCTTGGTGGGGAAGTTCTTTCGGTTTTCTGCGTTATGTCAGAACTGACTCTATGTTACAAATCCCGGGCATTTCAAGGGGAGAGAAATAGACGCTTGTAAACAAAGGATGGCTTTAATAGCGAAGCATCATGAACTGAATTCCACATTGGCCATTTTTTAATATATACATGAATAAAAGAAGGAGTGGAAGGGAAGCGACATAGGAACATCGGCAGCTGCTTTATACTGAGTCAGACCATTGGGGCACCGAACTTACTGGCTGGCAGCTCTCCCCAGGGGTATCAGATGGGGGCCTCTTCCAGCCCAAACTGGAGATGCTGGAGAGTAAAACTGGGACCCTCTGCACCAAAATCAGGTGTTCTACCCTTGAGCCAAGGCCCTTTCCCGAATGCTACGTCCGCTATTCCCGCTGTTACCACCACCACTACCATTACGACTAACCATAATCATACCCACCCAGCGGAATTCAAGCAGCCGTCCTAGCCGTGTTTTACTTGAAAGCAAAGCCCACTAAAATCAGGGGACATGCTTTGGAACAAGGCCGCCCAAACTCTCTGAATTGCGAGTCAGTTGGACTCGCTGGTACCTAGGGATCAGTGGTCCACGTAGCTCAGTAATTGTACGCACTGCCTGAAAATTTACCCAGGAGATGCCAGGGAGGGAACTCGGGACCTTTGAGGGCAAAGCATGAGCTCTGTTCCTGAACGTAGTGCGGGGGGGGATGGCTGTGCTTAGGGTGCTCCTTTGCATACGACTGGGATCCGGGGCAAGAAAAGAAAGAAAGAAAGAAAGAAAGAAAGAAAGAAAGAAAGAAAGAAAGAAAGAAAGAAAGAAAGAAGAAAGAAAGAAAGAAAGAAAGAAAGAAAGAAAGAAAGAAAGAAAGAAAGAAGGCGCCCGGCTTTGAGGTCACGCCCAGATGCCCACAAGGTACTTGACAATTTCATGGAAGAGTCACCAGAACACAAAATTAATACTGAGCTCCTACGACCGCGGTGTCTCCAAGCAAATTAAAAATGGTGTCTGTTCTTAATAATGTTGGCCTGCCAGAGAAGGCGGATTTATCCACCTGCTCGTAACTGTTAGTTCAAGTGGCCGTCCTCATGGGCACGCAGGAACTCTCTTGGAAAGCGAGGCCATTTGCTCCATCTCAGTGTTGGGGGTGGGGGGGAAGGAGGAGTTTAAAAAAAAATCCCTAACATTAAAAGGCCGAATTTACTTAAACATTTTTAAAAGGCAATGGCTGCTCGAAGAAGGCCGCGGAGGGAAAGCCAACCCCCCCCCCGCCCCGCCATTCATTATGCCGCGCTGCTAAGCAACCGCCTGCAAAGTACCGATCATTTCCCCTCCCCTCCTCCCCTCTCCCTCTCCTGCCTCTATTGCTCTTCCTGGCGAAAAAGCGCCTCAGTAGAAATTCAATATGATCTTGGATGCGAGGCAGGGAGCTGTCAGACAAATTTCTCTCCAACCCATCCTGGAACTCGAAGGAGCCAGGAAATTTCATGACATTATTAGCTTTCATTCATTTCATATTCACACACAAACACACAAATATATCATCTCTGGGACCGAAGCACCTATTTCTAGATCTTTGGTGGTGTTCAGTCTTCCTCCACAAATATTATACACTAGCTCAGCCTGAGCATATCCCGTTGAAACAAGTTAGCCCGGAAGATAAAAGTCCCTTCTCTTCCCAAGAGACTTAGGCTGAGATTTTGGGTTGTTGTTGGGTGTGGGGTTTTTTTTGGGGGGGGTAGGTCCATTGCACCCAGTAAGACTCATTTCTAAGTAAACATGCTCAGAGCCGGGCAGTTAGGACTACAGTTCATTGGATTGGGGCCTTACTATCCCACCCAGGGATCCAATAGCAGGGGAAGAAGCTGAGAGCAATTGAGCAAGGGAAACAGGACGTTGGTTTTTTTTTTAAAAAAATATCCTCACTTAAAAAAAATAATCTGGGAGACATATATGCCAGATAGTTTTAGAGATAAATGTATATAAAGAAGAAGAAGAACAGGGTATTTTAATATATTAATGTATTAAAGGGGGAGTGGGGTTGGAGAACAGAGAAGAATTACAGAATCGGTATATATCCTGAACACAATCTACACTTTATTTCAGACTACAGATTTCTGAACATAAGAAAAAAATCTTTGGCTTGCAGCAAGGGGTTCAGTCTCGCAGTCTGTGGGTCATAGTGTTATTGTTCTTACTCGGTAGGGTGGGGGGGGAGAGAAGAAGGAGGAGGAGGAAGAAGAAGAAGAAGAAAAAGAAACACCACACGCACACGCACGAAATGAAAGAGAGGGAGAAAGGCACACACGAAAACGCGACAGGGAAAAGAAGAAAGGGGGAGCAGGGAAGTCGGGAAGAGCCAGACAAATTCTTTAAAATCAGAAGGCTGGGGGGGGGCTGGAGGAGTTGAGAGCTATAATTAAGAAAAAGAAGACGTGGGGGGGAGAGACCAAAGTGGAGCTGGTGGGCGGGGAGGGGGGAGATCAACGGCTGAGCGAATAGAAAAACGCTACACATCATTATCATCATCATCATTTCTTACCTGAAATTAAATATATACAAGATCATACGATGTTTGGCTATATAGATAACTTTTTGTTTGTAAGTGTTCGGGGTTTTTGTTTTGTTTTAAATCGGAATCCTTATAACTATGAATAGACAATAAATTTGATTCTTTTCTCTCTCTTAAATAGCACCCTTCCAAGTCCCCCACAAATGTGTGTCACTGCAGGAAAGAAGTCCTTTTGTGTTTGTCGTGTGTTTTGTCTTTTCCCAAATTGTCCTCTCGCTCTCTCTCTTTTAATTGTTCCTCTTTTCTTTTCTTTTGCTTTGTATGGTTATTCTTTGTCTTCCCTGGCGATCAGGTTCATAATAATAATAATAATAATATAATTATAATAATAATAATAATATTAAGCATCAAAAAACGAAAAAACGAAATAAACCCGACAAGGTCTGTGCTCTCTGGGCGCGCTCACTCGCTGTCCTCTTTGTCTTGCACGGTAGTGGTGGAATGATTGTAGAGTCCCTGCGCCATGAGGTGCAGCGCCAGACCGTTCTTGATGCCCGTGGCCTTCTTGATCTTGGCGCGCTTGTTCTGGAACCAGATCTTGATCTGCGACTCGTTGAGGCTGAGCTCCTGCGCCAAAGTCTGCCGCCTCTGCTCGGTGATGTAGCGGTTCGCCTGGAACTCCGCCTTGAGTCTCTGCAGCTGCTCCGCCGTGAAAGCGGTGCGAGGCCGCTTGTCCTCCTTCTCGTTCTTCTTCTTCTTCAGCTTCCTCGTGCGGGGACCTACAAAGGGGGGGTGCGAGGGATGGAGGAGGGAGGGAGAGAGAGAGAAACACACACACGCACACAAAGGGGAAGGAGGAGGGGGTGAGGGGCACGAGAGAGAAAAGGGGACAGCAGTTGCCAGGTCAGAAGCATTCCCAAAACACACACACACACACATGCAACACACATAAAGGGGAGCCTGCCACATGGGAGCAACGCCGGGCGTTCCGGAAAATGGGGAGACTCTGTTTTGAAGGAAAGGGGGGCGCCTCCTTTCCCCTTTCCAAAAGGGGCATCCGGCAACCGTGATGGATGGGCAGGGTCAGACCTGATCTGCTTGGATTTCCCCCAACCCACATATATCCTACGTCTTTTGCTCCACTGTTTAAAACGTGGGTGCATTCCTCCCCCACCCCACATCCTTCAGGACGCCTGTTTCCACTACCACCCCCACCCCTGCGCTTTTCAAAACAGTCTAGGCCCTTCTTCGTCCCAAGTTCTGTGCAAGTACACAGAAGAGCAGCATCGCCCACTTTTAGCTGGCGCGAAGGAGAAGACGCCAAGGAAGAAAGGCGAGAGGGGCGAGATGGGAAGCAAAGAAACAAAGGGGAGCGGGGCGGAAAATCTATAGGGAAACGTTTGTCAGGATAGGTATTGGTCAGGCACGCGGATGCTTCTGCTAACTTTTCCCCGTCCGGGCCCAAGCTCAATTGTCTGATCGCACCAGATCTAAAGCAGTTTTCTATTGATCACCATCTATCTGTCTATCCATCTATCTATATCTGTGGATAGACAGTTTGAGAAAGAGACTGAGAGGTAGATCAATCAGTTAATTTGGATTTATCAAGTCTGGTGCAGCTGGAATCACGCACACATTTCTAATACACAAAATATACGTATGGGAGAGGCGGTATTTTGGCCCTCTTCCCCTTAAAAGCTCTCATCTCTTAAAGGCAAAGCGTCTTAACTTTACAGCACACACTTTGAAAGTGGGGGAGAAGTCTGACTAACTAGTTATGAGCTTCAGTAAAAAGTATCAGAAAGTTAAAAAAAAAACAAATACACACAGAGAGAGAGCTTCCTCAGCAGATGGCTGCGTTAGGGAAGCGGGCTCCTCACTTATGGGCCTTCGCTGAAGTTTATATTCATTTAGGAAAGCGTGGGGTTCCTGGATTTCTTCTGTTTTTAAAAAGCCCACAGATCAAACATACAGCATTTCCGGCGCTGCTAGAGTTAAATGGTACGTGTTAGAGGTAACACCCCAGGAAACCTTTCCCAACGTCATTCACCCTCAACATACATGTTTACTACAAGGACATGTTTGAAATAACGCAAACAGAAAGTTCCCGCTGAATTGTAAGGATAAATAAGCATCGAGGTAAACAGACTTAAAGACTGGACCCAAAACAAACACTGCAAGCGGTTTACGAAGCGGGTTCTGTTGTTGCTGTGGCTGGGCCTAACGGTACCACTAGCAGGCACGAAGAGTAACAGCGAAGGCCTTACCCTGTCTACTCGGGAGCAAGTCATACCGAATTTTATTACGCCCCATTAAATTCGGCAGGATCAGCTTCGGAGTAGAAGCTGCTCAGACAGCGCTGGAGGTTCTTATGCGCCGGGACAACACCGGATTTTAAATCTGTTTTGATCCGCAGCGGGACCCAGACTTTCCTCCTCCAAATCAAACCAAGGCGTCCCTCGACAAAGCAAGCCTGGGAAGTTGTATATGTGTGTGTTTAATTTATATTTAATATTATAATTTTGAAATTCATTATTTTCTAAAACAAAAAAAACACCAGACAATAAATTTAGGCAAGGCTCTCGGATTATAAATACCTATTTCAATGTGTGCTCAGCTGTAGACTCCTACCTCTTTCCCCTCACAGACAGAAAATAAATTTCTTATTTTGGGAAACTAAGCAACCCCTATTGCAAGCTGGTCCAAAGGCCTTATTGCCGAACGACTAGATAATACTACTACTAATGATGATGATGATGATAAGGGAAAATAAATTGCGCCCCATGCTCATTTTTTGAAGCCTGCCGCAAAAGTATATTCTGCAAACGCAAATACACAATGCCAGACAAACCCTCATCGCCTACAATGACTGGGGGAACACTTCACTGAAACCGCTGGTCTCCACTCCACGAAAAACCCTCCAATAAAAGCCGCGGATAAATATATTTCCAAGTGGAGGGCGTTCCTACATTATCTTTCACTGAGAGATCTGGCCCAGCCGGTGTCCTCACGTTCAAAATGCACATCTCTTTAAACCAACGAACCCGCGCGCAAGGCTGCTTCCTCGAAGTCCGCGCGTTTCTGCTTAGAAGCCCTTCCCAGCAATTTAATATCAACACATCTTGGCCTCGCAGGACTCCAAAACTAGACCCATGGCCTTGGAGGAGCCCTCGGAAATTAAGGCAAATTGTTCTGCATCCCTCCCGTTTCTAAGCGCTCTCTCTCTCTTTCTCTGTTAAAAGAAATGGGTGGGAAACTTTTTTAAAAATTGCAGAAGTGGGGGGTGGGGGGAGAGAGACTGGAGGAAGTAGATCGTCCCCTTAAATAGAATTCGAGCACTTGAGGCATCAGCCAAGGACTCCGAAACAGTGTGTCCCGAATAAGTACTGGAATAAATGGAGACAAATCCTTGTTTAAGTCGTTGTCGTTCAGACATCGTCTTTCCAAAGCCGCCTTGTTTTTGCTTTGTTGGGAAATGTATCAAATACAAATTATTTTAGGGAAGGAATATATTCATACGTGGGTAAGATTCCCCTCTTCAAAGCAATTTATATCGTGAAGGGGGTTCAAAAAGAGTACCTTAAAACGCCATTTTTTAAAATTACCCAAACACGAATATTTTTTAAAATAGGATACAAAATGAAAATGAAGCCTTTTTCCAAAGATCGCCAACTTTGGGGCCAGTCGCTTGAACGTGAGGAAAACCTCCGGTCAGCAGGCCGCAAAAGTAGCTCTGAGAAGCCTGGCTGCTTTCAAAACCAGGCTTTAAAATATATAGATGAGAGAAAGAGAGAGAGACGGCTGAATAAACTACAGAAAGGGATTAAACAGAGCCGGCTGAATAAATCTCAAGATATTTCCCCAGTCCCCTCATTTACGGAAAATAACAACAGCCAAGAGAAATTTCCTAGCGGCGAAAAGCTCTTTTGAGGGCTGAGATTTTTGGCCGGGGGATGGATGATCCCTGCTCGGATCTCTCTGTTCAGTGGGGAGCAGATTCTAAAGGAGCCGTTCCCAAGAAGCGGGCAGGTCTCGGGTGGGGGGCGTGAGAAAGCGAGAGGCGGTGGGGGCAACTGCCAGTCTCAAGAGATCAACACCCCCTATTTCACATCCAGGGAAAGGTGGGCTAAGAGAAGGGCTTGTTGGGGGGCCCTAACCGGCTTCGGAGAGGGCCCACCGTCAAGAGCAGCCGCTGCAGCCTCTCTCAAGGAGAGGCCCGTCCTGGCCCCTCCAGAGAGCCGGGGCGCTGCCTTTGCAGGGTGCCGCTGCCGGTGGTGGTGGGGAGCCTTCCTATCAAACCACACTTTCCAAGGCAGCGGCCCTGGGAAAGCAGTAATAAAATCATTGCAGTTGGCCGCGGAAGGTAGAGCTGACAGCTCAATCACTCAATCAATCCGTTTAGTCAATCAAAGTGGCTTTTCTGAGTTCCAAGGAGCGGGGATGTGTCAATAGCGGCGTGATCGAGATGGCTGGCGCTGATAGCGGAGGATTGATCAGTCGCCGGCAGAAAGGAGTTCATAAAGAGCCCCGAGCCGGGGCTGGTGAGGTTGGGGGGCGGCGGGAGAGTGGGATGGACGAAGTGGGGCGAAGAAGGCGACCTGGGAGCGCACCCGGCCGGAGCTCCTTCGCCACCAGCTTCCCATCGCCCAGCTCCGCAGCCTGCCTTGCTCTCTCGGCCCTGAAAGTTGACAGGAGCGCCAAGGCGAGCGGTCGCCCTTTTCGGGCGCTTTCGCGAGCGCTGACCCGCAGCGGCTCCCTCGCTCGACTCCTTCGCCCTTACGGGTTGGAGGGGCTGATTCAGAGAGACAGACCCCCCCTCCTTTCTCTCCCTCTCCTCTCGTCACTCTTCTTCCCACACCTCCTTTCCCGGAAGGATTTCGACCCTCCCCTGGAAACCGAAGATTCCTCAACCTCCGAGCGGGATCGAGGATTCTGGGGGTTTTTTATATTGGGGTGGGGATGTGGGGGGCTAGTAGAGGGAGGACACCTTTATTCTTACGGCAGCATCTGGGGCGGGAGGGAGAACCGGCAGCTGGGAAGAGCGAAATGCCGGCCACGGGGTGGGAATTGCTCCCCTCTAGCCGGTCTGGAAGACGGGAATGGAAAAAGGAAGGCCTAGGGGCCTAGATTCTTGTGCTCCGCTGCCGCGAGGCCTCCGCGGGTTTCCCAAGAAAGCCCTTTCCTTTTCTGTTCTCTCTCTCTTTCTCTGTCTCTCTCACACACTTCCTCTTTCTTTTTCGGCCCCCGCCAGTGCCAGTTCCTTCAAAAACGCATCCTTCACACGGCAACACTTGTCTCCTTCACTCCTCAATTGCTCAGCAGCGAATGTTTCTGAACGACAACAAAAGCACTGGTTGTCTGCAGCTACGTCCCACACCGAAATCACTAATTTCCTCCCAGCCATAGATATATCCGGGGAAAAAGTTTTAGAAAGCACACTATGGTTTCTTCCCCCTTCCTAACTACAGAAAGAGAGAGACACCCACCCACCCTTCAAGGCCTGAAAGGGGCAGAAAGAGAGAGGAAGACGGCGGCGCGGGCCCTCCAATCTTTCCAGGTTCTGCCTCCACTAGAGACACTTCAACGGACCTCCCAGCCCAGGTTGCGGACATCCCCCGGGGGCATTTCGGTCGCAGCTCCTCCGCAAGCTGCTTCGGGCCGAGGGGAATCACCAAGCAGCCTCGGCCCCCCTCTTTTGCAGCCTAAGACTGCAGTCTGCGAAGGGCAAGGCTGGCCGGGGAGGCGGAAAGACGCTCTTGAACACCAGAAGCCCCGCAAACCTCGGAGAGGGGCACCCTAAGAAAATGCAGGGTTTGGGATCGGGCGAGGGAGGGGAAACGCCGACTCAGCTCCACAAAACTCCTAAATGTACTCTCAAGCCGCCACCTCCCATCTGCTTAATCCAGCGCAGTTTGGGATCCCTCGGCGCGCTCTGCGCCTCAAGTCTTAGCGCACCGCCAGGGTGGCCGGTTTAGGGGCTTGGCTTCCTGGGTTCGGTGGGATGGTTAACGCTCCCCGCAGGATTACACTCATATCACAGAGAGATAGATAGATATATATATATAGAAATGGCAGGTGTATATATAAGACAGGGGGGAAGGGGGCAACGCTGAAGGCACGGAAGAGGATTCTTACCCGAGGATGGTCTGTCTGAATACCTAGTGCAGTAAACCCAGGCAGGCCAAACCAGCGGCTGTTGAGAATCGCTCTTGGCAACAGCTCCTCCATTATTGGAGCCCATGAGCAGGATGGCGGGGTTGGCGTGCTCCCCGTACTTCGCCGGGTTAGTTCCACTCCCTTCCGAGCAGGAGGAGGAGGAGGAGGAAGAGGAAGAGGAGGAGGAGGAGGAGGAGATGGGGGGCTTGGCCGTCCCTAGCGCTGCGGCCGCCGCGGCGGGGCTGGCTTTGGAGGCCGTGGAGGAGCTGTCGGGGCTCCCGTGCGACTCCGCGCTAAGGTTGGGGGGCCTGCCGAGCAGAGGGTTGACATTTTCTCTACCTGAGCTGGCCGCGCGGTCAAGGTCCCTGTCCCGGCCGCTGCCCACGCCGCCGCCGGCGCCACCTCCTCCTCCTCCGGCCGCAGTCCCGGCCAGGAGCAAGAGCTGCTCTTTCTTGCAGCCAAAGTCCGGCCTCAGGATGTTGTCGATGAAAAAGTTGGTGGTGCGGTGCTGTTGCTGCGGCTGCTGCTGCTGCGGAGGCGGCGGCGGCCGCTGCTGCTGCTGCTGTGGAGGCGGAGGCGCCTGATGCTGCTGCTGCGGGAGATGGTGCTGGTGGTGCGGAGGGTGGTGGTGGTGGTGCGGGTGGAGAGGCAGGGAGACGAGGCACGGCGTGGCCGGGGACAGGGGAGCGTGGCTGCCGGGAGACAGCGGCACGCTCTCGCCATCGCTGCCGCTGGCGCTGGGGCTGCTGCTGCTGGGGCGGCTGCCGGGAGTCGGAGCAGAGTCTCGCAGACTTTTACTGTCCGTCTGCTCTTCCATAGTCAGCTGCCAGCTCCGCAGATGGGCGTCTTGGCTCTTCTTCCACTTCTTCACTCGAGGTCCCCCCCTCCACCTACCACCACCACGCCTCACTTTTCCGGGCGGTGGCAGGGCAGTTGGGTCCTCGCTGCTGCTGCTGCTGCTGCTGTTGTTCTTGGAAAGATGGGGGAAATGCAAAATAAAATCCACTTGTTGGCTCGCGGAGGAATCTAGAGAGAGATATCCAAAGGCTCAGACATTTGGAGCGATTCGCGCTTTTGGGGCAGTTGTTTTATATTTCCTCTCTCGCTCTCTCGCTCTCTCGCTCTTTCTCTCTCCCCCTCCCTCTCTCTCTCACCCCTCTTCCGAAAGAGAGAGGGGGGTGAGAGAGAGAGAGAGACCAAAACAAAACCAGCCCCCCCAAAGCCCTCCCCCAAGTCTTCTCACAATCTACCCATCTTTCTCCGAGCGCCGCAGCTTTGGGGTTTCCCCAAATGTCAGAGTCCGCTTTGCCCACGGATCAGCCTTGGCAGATGCTTTAATCGCCCGCTCGCACGTGCATATTTTCCTCCCACCTTTCCTTCCCCCACTTCTCCTTTTAAAAAAAAAAAGGAAAAAAAGAAAGCAAAAATCTCTGACAGCTCCGATCTTGCAACAAACTCTCCTTAAAAAATCTCTCAGCCACACTTTTTTTTCATTCCGACCGGAAGCACGTGAGGATGGCCCGCACGTGGAAAGAGCCAATCAGCAGCCCGGGAATTCTGTGACGCCCCTGACGTCGGCCAATGAGCTGCATTGGAACTTTGCAGTTACATTATCCAAGGGGCTGGCTGATTCAGAGGGAACGAGAGAGAGAGAGAGAGACCAGGGGAGCTTTGCGCTTTCCATGGCGCATCCTTTCTCGAGTCTGCTTCTCCTTCCCTTTTCCCTCCTGCCCAGGACTTTTCATTTACTTATGCTTCTCAAAAAGCAAATATCCAAATCATCCCCACAAATGACGTGTTGACACTCCACAAGATGACTGTGTATCTTCTGAGGTTCGGAAAAGAAATTCGGAATGAAATCTTTCCTGTGTTGTTTATTATTATTATTTCTAAAGAGTAGATGCTAAATTCTTTATAGAATGCTTTTCTAAATTCGAAACAAAACAAAACACGTTTATGGGGTGGAAGTGTATTCTGAGGATGACTAGTAACCTAACCAATTATGAAATCTCTGTTCCAATCCAAACAGATTTATCAGTACTCTGTGCATGTTTGCTGTGGCAGTTATGGTTTGTGTCCGCTGTTTTTTGTTTTAAACTTTAAAAAAGGACATAGATGAGCTATGTCAAAAAGACCATGCAGGGAGTTTCTAAAAGACTTAAAGGGCTCGACCCAACACTTTCCAGATTCATTGATTTAAATAGGAAAGTGGCTGAGCAATCCTGAGCACAGGTGGACTCAGGAAGAGATCAGTGAAATTTTTTCCTGGTATGTGTGTGCATAGGATTGCAGACTTAAGCACATGCTCCCCTCTTACTATTTTTTTTTAAACAACAACAACACACCCAAACCAAACACGATGATTAAACGCTCACTTTTGCGCAAGCACTCTTGTCAATTCCAGGGAACATTTATCAATATTTCTTTCTTGCAGGTAATTCTATCAGCGTGCATATGCCCCCATAATGTCCTCACTCATTAACAGGTGGCATTTAAAAGAACAGGAAAATAGTTGGAGAGCTGAGTGTCGGTTTAAAGGATAGTGTATCCAATCTTAGCCTAACCTGCGGTTGAACGTGCAG